GGGAACAAGGTCACCTGTGAAAGAGCTTTGTCATTTGAAAAGTTGTTTATTCCAGCCCTTGGCTCTCTGTTGTTTCTCATGGCCTGAGCGCTAGCCTGGGGGGTGAGCCTGCCTCGGGTGAGCCCAACTTAGTTGGGATTTTTTTCCACCTTGGGATATGGCTAGGCCTCTGAGGGCCCATCCTCATCAAGATTGGCACTATCTTTCCAGACAGGGTACTCCCAGAGGACTCTGGCCATCAGGGACTGGGTCTTTACCACCTGAGATCAGGAACAGACACCTCAGCCTTGGCCCAAGCAGATGGGCTGGTGGGCTCCTGGCTACAGCAACCACCAGCCCTGGAGCTCCTCCTTATTCCTCCCCACACAAGTCATGGCAGGCCTGGGGACGCAGGAAGTCCAAAGCCAGCTGCAGCCCCAGCTGCTCCGTATCCTGCCACTGGGAGGCCAACATGCCCAATGTCCATAGATGGAAGGACCAGACACTCCTAAGTAGCTTCTCGCCTCAGTCCCACTAACAGTGAGACTGCTGGTTCTCAGATACGTAAGCAGCACAGTAAACTCTTAGCTGTCCACTGCCTGACTTCCCTGGCCTATAAAATGGGCCTATGTACCACTTTTACCCCTTCCTTCCCTCTTTGCCTCCCAGGTGGTAAGGACCAACGAAGTGATCAAAATGAAAAGGCTTTGTAAATTAGTGTGCTGTTCAGACAACGGTGATATAATGATGATGATTCAGTCAGGTTGCCCCATCCCCTGGGTGACAGTGATTGGTGGGACAGACATAAACCCAACCAGCTAGTCAGTTCTCCCAGAGACCCTCTCCAGCACAGCTGTTGAAGGAGACCTGCCTTTCCGCTGGGTGTGGTGAGTGCTGATCTGGGCTGCTGGTGGCCACCTTGCCTGCCCCATGGAAAGAGTGTTAAAGGTGGAAAGAGACACAGAGTCCTTACTATCATGCTTCAGCCCCTAGATTCAGCTATGCCTGGAACTAGTCAACTCTTGATATTCACTGGTACATGAACCAACTTCCCTTTTTATGGTAGGCTAGTTAGATTTGAATGTTTGACACCTGTGATTGAGGAACACCAACTACATCGTGGGTGCATTTTAACAACTAATATATATACTGTTTTATAAACAACGTTTTCAGGGGAAAAAGCTTTGTTAAAGTTTTTTTTAGAATACCTATCAGCAGCATGAGAAAGCAGAAAAAGCATTGAGAGAAGTAAAGCAACCTGGATTCTCTACTATTTCCAACAGGAATTTCTGTGTGACTTTGAGCAAGTCTCCTAACCGGTCCGGACCTCAATAAAATAAGGAATTGGAGTTAATGATCTCTGAGGTATTTTACAGTGCTAAGTGTCTTTGAGTCTATAAATAAATAAATAAATATGTATGTCAGATCTAATTAAAGACTTTTTATATGTTAAGAATAAAGACAGGCCTAGCTGGTTTGGCTCAGTGGTTAGAGCACCAACCTAAAGACTGAAGGATCCCGGGTTCCATTCTGGCCAAGGGCACAAACCTCAGTTGCAGGCTTGATCCCTGGCCATGGTTGGGACACATGCAGGAGGCAACTAATGGATGTGTCCCTCTCACACCAATGTTTCTCTCTCTCTCTTTCTCTCTCTCTCTCTCTCTCCCCCTTCCACTCTCTCTGAAAAGCAATGGAAAAAATATCCTCGGGTGAAGATTTAAAAAAAAAAAAGAATAAAGACAAAAAATAAAAACTAAATTTAAAATTAGTGCAAAGTATTTATAATAAAAGCCTTTATATTAACAAATTACAAATTACACATGAGATGTCCTCAAACACATGCAAAATATTCACTGCATCACTGATTAAATTGGAAAAATGAGAAACAAAAATTGGGAACAGCCTGGTTAAATAAGCTGTGGTATGTTCATATAAAGGAAAGAGGAAATGATAATGGGATATTGTGTGATTGTGAAAAAGGAATGAGGAAAAGTTATATTTGACACAGCCAATGCCTGAGGCACATTTTTAAATGGAAAGGGTAAAATGCATGGTGGCTGTGCTGTGTACAAAGAGGAGGGGAAGATAGTATAGATGTAATTCCTGGTGTGTGCATAGATTATTTCTTGAAAAATCTCAAAAAACTGGTACTACTAACTGCCTCTTTGGAGAGTGGGTCTTTACTTTCTACTATACGGTATTTTGGAATGTCAAAACGTGACTATATTACCAACTCAAATTTTTTTTAATTTTTAATTAAAAGGGTTTGAAAGGGCAAATACTATTACATGTGGCTCGTTTAATCCTCATGATGAACCTGCAAGGCCAGCTAAGAATCTCAAGTACCACTGTGTCTACTGACAGATGGAGAAATATACCCAGAGGGCCCACATACTACAACATGGAGACCCATCCAACTAGTGACAGACACATGAATAACACCCTTCCTCAGAGTCGATACAGCTAACGGGGCATGAGCACTAACACTCTCACTATAGCACCTACTGCAAACTCTGAAAGGGGTGAAATTAAATTAGTCCAGGAAAGGATCAAAAGAGGGGTTACCTCATCGGTCATCCAGGCCAATTCCAAGACACCAGGACCAATGGATCTGAAACAAGGAAGGAAAGAGGCCCCACCTCCAAAAATTGTTCAAATAGCCAACTGTTTATGCTTAATAGAGAAACGTAGATGATGTGGAGCTGTGCCATGCTGACTTGTGGTCCAGCCACCGATGAGTCTTCCAGACCAGTGTTTCTGAGGCCTCAATGTGCATTCTGGGGACACAATCCTGGGGATTCGATAGAATGCAGATTCTGGCCCTGGCTGCATGGCTCAATTGGTTGAAGCATTGTACTGAACACCAGAAGGTGGCGGGTTCAATTCCTGGTCAGGGCACCTACCTAGGTTATAGATTTGATCCCCAGTTGGGAGGGGTGGGGGGCATACAGGAGGCAGCCGATCAATTTTTCTCTCACGTCGATGTTTTTCTCTCTCTCTCTCTCTCCCTTCCTCTCTCTCTTAAGATTAATTCTTTAAAAATATATCCTCACATGAGGATTAAAAAAAATATATGGAGATTCTGACTCAGCAGGTCTGGGGTGAGGCCCAAGATTCTTCCTCTCTGCCAGGCTCCCAGGTGATGCCCATGCTGGTCAAAACCATATGTTGACTGTAGTTTTAGAACCACACTGACCAAAGTGGGCACCACTACTGCCTGTGGCAACTGAGCACTTGATATGTGGCTAGTCCACAATAAAAGGTACTGAAAGTGTAAAATACACACTGGCATCCCAAAACAATACAGCCCGGCCGGGCGTGGCTCAGTGGTTAAGCGTCGACCTAGGATCCAGGAGATCAGGGTTCGATTCCCGGTCAGGGCACATGCCCCGGTTACGGGCTGCAGCCGATCAATGACTCTCTCATCATTGATGTTTCTATCTCTCTCTCTCCCTCTATTTTCCTCTCCCTCAAATCAATAAAGATATATTTTATAAAAAAAAAATACAAAAAAAGGAAAACATCACATTTATAATTTTTATATTGATTACATGCTGAAATGATCATATTTTTTATATTTTAGGTTAAATAGAATCTATTATTAAAATTAGTTGCACCTGTTTCTTTTTCCTGTTTTTAATGTGGCTACTTAGAAAATGTAAAATGGCACATGTGGATTGTATTATATTCCTATTGAACTGTGCCACTCCAGGCCACCTGGTTCTCCTACAACCTGCATGGCGGGGGAACCACCTCAGTCATTGCCCTTGAGTGCATGCAAGGGTCTATAAATCGTGCAAGGCCATTTGAGAGGTTGGATGAAGTGTGTTGAAGAATATAGCCCCCTCCCACACCTAACAAATATAACTTGTACCCAAGTGATGTCTAGGCTGAAGCAAACAGTCAAAGCAGGCTTAACCATGGAACTGTGAGTGAAAAAATATTCTGAACAACTTTAAGTAGAAATTTTGTAGAGAAAACGCGGCCTAAGGGGTGAGTGTGAAAAGGCAGGGATGAGGCTGGGTCCGGATTTCTTTGGTGACAGTGGGAGGAAACATGTCAGTTCTGCATTTGCTCTACTTGACAGTACAGTTCTCACCACCCTGAGTCACATTCCAGTCCCAGCACCCTCAAAACCAGAGTTTCCCTTAAAGTGAAAGACCCAGGGCAATCACTTGGCCTTGGTGCAACCCAGACATAGGTCCGAAGATGGTCATGTAGTCAAAAGTGTAATAAAAGATCAGTAGTCAAGAAAACCAACCAGCCCGGCCTGCATGGCTCGGTGGTTGAGCATCGACCTATATGATCCAGGAGGTCAGGGCACATATCCGGGTTGGGGGCTCCATCCCCAGCAGGGGGCATGCAAAAGGAAGCAGATCAATGATCCTCTCTCATCATTAATGTTTCTATCTCTCTCTCCCTCTCCCTCTCTGAAATCAATAAAAACATATTTTAAAAAAAGAAAGAAAACCAACCAATTCCTTCTGCATAGCCACAAAGCAATCAGCATTGCCTGTAGGAAAATTTTTAACTCAAACTCTTCCATTTCCATGTCCAAGATGGCTCTATTTTCAGTGAATGGCCCTTTCATCATGTAAGATGCTCCTAAAGTTCATTCACAGTAAGGGTGGGTAACAGTACACAACACACTCTCCTTCTAGAAACATGCAACCTAGGACAGGGTTTCTTTACTTAAAACCACAGGAAGGTATTACCTGACCCAAAGAGCTGCAGCTCCTTCTGCTCTGTTGGGAAAGTAATTCATTCTTGGCCTGTTCCCACCCTGTGCCTGCTTGCTCTACCCCCTGCGTGGCAAGAGGGAGACAAAAGGAAGGGAAAGACACAAGACACCAGAGGGGAAAGAGGCTCTGGTGAACACACGAACATGTTTATATCTGAAAGCAGGCACACCTTTGAACATCATGTAAGCATGTTGGTCTCCTGGAAAACTTGTCCTGCGCCAGCCCAGTACTCCCCACCTCTCCCATCATGGGCCCGGCCAAGCTCCAGGCTGTACTGACCAGGTTTTATTTCCAGCAGTCGCAGCTTTGGATCCTCAGGGGGGTGCAATCGTCTCTTCTTACGCCAGCAGCGGGCAGGGTATGTGTACAGCTGTCCCGGGGCAAGGCCTGTGGACAGAGACAATGTAAAGGTTAAAAGGCTCCATGATGGAAGCAGCCTAGCAAACCACCCTAACCCTCTTATTCACAGGGAAAGGAAACTGAAGCCCAGAGAGGTGAAGTGATTTGTCCAGGTCACACAGCTGGTAGATGACAGAGGTAAGGCAGGATCTAGGTCATCTGACCCCAAGACTCTTGCTCTGCCTGCTCTACCATGCTGTCTCAGTGAGCCCAGGCCAAAAAGAAACCATCGCTGTTACCAAAACCAGTTCTATTTTCCTGCCCTGGGAGATCAGAGGAACCTGTGGGCCACAAGAGAGACCTTTCCAGATTCAACCTCACCAAAGTATTTCCAAAGCACTGCATCTCCAGCTACTGCCCATCAACTAGCCGTCTGTCCAGGTCAAGCAGGTTCCCTTCAAAGCAGAGCAGCAGGAGTCAGTCAGCCTATCTATGGACAGCTAGATTGGAAAACACTACAAGGAATCAGGATCGAGGAGCCAGACCTCCTACCTCCTGGCTTCCTCCACCCAGTTAGCTGTTGGCAGCTCGCTGAAGCCAAAGGGAGCCCTGTGCAACCTCCACCAGCATATAAGCCTGCTCTGTGACTGGGCTCCACACCTGCAGAGCCAGCATACCTGTATCTCTCCGCCTACCTGCCTGGGCCTTACAGAAAGAAATGGGCAGGAGTCCTGTGGCTGGGCTTATGCACCTCATCCGTCTCTCACAAGTCTCCATCTAGATTTGGCCCTTGGCACCAAAGTTCCACACCAGCCTCATCTGTCATGAGGAATAATCCATGAGGAGCCTTCTTGCTCATCAGGCAACACTCTTGTGGCTCCTGTGACACATAGTATGGCAGCCAGAAGCCTTGGAGGAACATGGACTCCCCACACTAGACCATGGTCTATTCCAGAGAAAAGGGAAGGGGGTAGAGGCCAGGGGAAGAAGGAGAAGGGGCTCAAGGTTGGTTAGATGATCTGTAGACTAAAAAAACTACCTGATGCACCCAAAATAAACCAGCAGCCAACTAATCCACCCCTGCTAAAGTGAAAAGGCTGGTGAGGAAAGGAACTTGCTCCTCTCGGAATCCCCAGAACCAGAACTGTACCTAATACATAGAAAAATCAAACTGAGCATTTGCTGAATGAATATGTTTCAGCTTTACTTTAAATGGGGTCACAAGTCAGCCTCTGTAGATAAATATGGCATGTGACAACTATTAGATGCAGGTAACCTCACGTGAGAGGGTCACTTCCTAAACCGAGAACCATGGGGTTCAGAAAACACCGGGGCTATATTCCCATGTGTCTGCCATTTGAGGGGCCTTTAAAAGTTAAGAGGGACACTGGCTTCATTTTTTTGCCTTTTGCACAAAATAAAAATAAAATCAAAAGAAATTTCATTGCTATATATCCATTTATTGTTTTATTTTTACTAGTCATCACTACCCATTTATTGGTTTGGGTCCAAATCAGAGGTAACTATTTCAGCACTAAACGAACCAAAATTTTCAAATTCTCTTTGTGAGCTGTTTTAATCACAAAGTTGCTCCCATAGGTTACACAGCTGTGACCAAGTTGGAGGTCCCTAACCCTCCCCTTTTGATTCTTAGAAACCATTGAGGGTGATGGAGCCGGCTACTATGAGCTAAGGGATTGTCATTTACAAGAGTCATCCTAATACTTAATACTTGATTTTGTTGATACCTTCATGAGCTTCTGAACAGTAGGGGGACCCTGAAGCTCTGAGCTCCCTGAGCTCTGGGAACCAGACTTGTGCTAATATACAGAAGACCAGATTAATCAAATAAAGTAAGATTGCTCTCCCTCCCACGGAGGTCCAGTTTTGACCTCTCTTTGAGGGAGGGAATCACTGGGGAATAGTTTGGTGTTTCTGGTGTGGTTTAGTCCAGGGCAATATCATCTCTGACCCTGTAATTTCTGAATGGATGATGCACTAATTCTCAGTCCCTTCCAAAAGTTTTGGCCACCTCTTGAGCTAGTATATCCCAGTGAAAGCTAAGTACACAGGTTGACCTGCTACTCCATGTCCCAGAATTAGTCCCACCAATCCCCACTCATCTTGGGTCAGAGGTTCTTAATCCAGGCTAAAACCAAAAATCACCTGAAGAACTACTTAATAACACCAAGAGCCAAAATCCATACCAGATCTACCCAATCTGAATGTAGGCAAGTAGGGAAATTGGGCAATCTACTTTTTAAGAACCTTATAGATCACTCCAATGTCTGAATGAGAACCTCTGGATGTCTAAGCATCATCTAGTTACTACCTGGATGTACCAAGACTGGTTTAATGGCCTTCCCAGTAGGATCCCAAGAGTCCCTGTTTCCCCCAAGGTGTTGTTGTTAATTGCCTGCTTACTAGACTATCTCCCCTACTGGTTTTATAAGATCTAGAATGTCAGGAACCATGTCCATTTCAAGTATCCCAACATTTTGCACAGTGCCTGGCAGGTACTTCAAGAAATACTTATCAAATAAATTCAACCAGAAATGAACCAGACACAGAAATGCAGGAAGTGAATGACCACTGTCCCTGCTGTTCCTGGCTCCAGGAGACTCATCTACCCACATCCAAACCATCCAAAAGGGACCCCAGAAGGTGGGCTCAGAATTGAGCCCAGGCCCAGCCCAGCACAGTAGTCTCTGTACCTTAAGCTCCTTCTTGCCCCACAGGCTGCTTCAAGGTATTTCCAACCTGACCAAAAACAGGTGAGTGGGAAGGAACTGGTCAAGACTAGTACTCTCAAAAGGTCTAAGTGACAAGAGGTCAAAATATCAACATTTTTCTAGGTCTTATGCCCTTCTTGAGAGTGTGGTAAGTGCACTTTTTGGTCAGCTGCACCAAGGCAGCCTCAGGTTACTCAACTTATAGCTGCAGGTCCACTATCCTGGGAGGGGCAATTTTAGTAAGCAGTTTGAATGTCCAGAAGAGGGGACAGTTTTATTTCATTTTTTCATCTTCCCTGATGGGTTAGAAAAGCTCCATAGTACAGAGGAAGAGCATATGAATCCTCACACCACCATTCCCTGTCACCTTGAGAAATATCAACCACACTTTTCTGAGGCTGTCCCCTCACCTGTAAGATAAGGGTGTTAATAACGCCTACCTTATAAGGACTGTCATGGGGATTAGCTTATATTCAAGAAGCTCTTTATAACAATGATGCCTTGTATAAATGTCAGTTAGGAATTATTATGCGAGCTGCCTTAGACAAGTCTGGACTCCATGCCCATGTAACATGACAAGGCCTCCCACCCGCATGTCCATGCTGCTCTTTGCTTCTTTAGCCACGAGAATGGAAACAGGTCTCCCTTTGAGGTCTCTGACTCCACCTCATCTCAACAAGCAAATGGCCCCAAGAACTCTCTGGGAGCTCCTTTCCCCCCCTCCTTGCCCTCCACCCTAGGCTGACAGGCACCAGGGTGCCTTTATAGGAACTATGCATTCAGCCCTGGAGTTCCACTTATAAAGGGATGAACAGAGCCCCATGAGAGTTATGTTGTTTATCTCATTAGAACAGGAGGCACATAACTCAAAGCCCATGTGTGTGGTAGAGGGAGGAGGGAGGAGGGAGAGCAGGAGGAGGGTGGAGTCACAGCTATAGCCTGGGAAATTAAGCTGAAGGAATGAGCCTGGGGCTGGGGGGATATGGAGGAGGGAAAGGGAGACTAGAGGGCAGACCAGCCCTCCCTGGGAACCAAGGCCACAGCTATCCCTCCATTCTCATGCTCCACTAAGCAACTGCTTTTCTGTTACTTTGAGGTATACAATGCCAGTTACAACTCATGTGCAAGCATCTCACACACAGAGAAAAAAATCACACACTTGCTGGGGGGAGAGGAGAGGACATAATCCAGAGAAAAAATTCAGCATGATGGACTTGATGCCTGTATGATAAGCAGACTACAAACTGCTTGCTACCAGTATTGTTCAAGTTCAGCAGGTGAATACTTAGTGTCATGAGCATCTTTAAAGGCACAGCATGAACTATTAAGAATTCAGAAGATGCCCTAGCCAGTTTGGCTCAGTGGTTAGAGTCAGCCTGAGGACTGAAGAATCCTGGGTTCAATTCCAGCCAAGGGCACATACCTCAGTTGCAGGCTCGATCCCCGGTTTTGGTTGGGGTACATGTAGAAGGCAACCAATCTTTGTGTCTCACACTGATGTGTGTCTCTCTCTCTCTCTCCCCCCCTTCAACTCTCTCTGAAAAACAATAGAAAACATATCCTTAGTGAGGATAAAAAATATATTTAAAAAAATAATTCAGAAGATGAAATGAGACAGAAAAGGGAAAGAAGGATGATATGGGATAAGAAGAGAATTTGAAAAGACGAACTGTAATAAACTCTTCCCCCAACCAGAGCTGAGTGGTGACAGTTCAAGCTCACTCAGGAAAGGGCTCTCCCTACAGCATAGCATCTCTGAGAGGTGAACCCACAGCTGCCACTGAACCTTGCAATGGAAAACTCATTACTTCACAGGACAGACTTACCACCATTGGCCAATTTTTATTACAGAGTATTGCCCTACCCTTCTTTTGAAGCAAAATCTACCATCCTGTAACTTATGCCGATTTGTTCACCTTCTGTCCCAGAAGTGGACAGGTGTCACCTGCATCCCAACCATCCAACCCATCCACTCACTTGTGTGTGAAGGAGAGCGAACTGAGAGGCCAAGGAACTAGAGAGAAATGGGAGTTGGAGGAAAGAGGCAGTGACTACACCTGCTCCTGAGCCAGGGCTTCTTCACGAAGACTGGGCATCAGAACGGCATCAGTTACTGAAAAGGGCAGATGCCTGGGCCCCAGCCCAATCCTACTGAACCACAGTATCACACACTCACCAGTTGTAGTTTGAAAAACTCCCACATAAGGAACTTTGCACTAGATCAAATCTTACATTTATATTCCCAGGGCCCAGCACATAATAGGTGCTCCATTAATGTCTGTGGTTCAAAATGTCAACTTGGACCAAATCAAGAGA